AATCACAGCCCTTGAGACCCTAATGAATCAAGATAATGAAGTCAAGGCCAGCTTGAGATACATAGAGGATTCAAAGAAAACCTGAGCTAAGTCACATACTGAGACCCTGTCTAAAAATAAATAAAAAAAAAAACAATCACAACCATTTGTGTGAGGGTGCTAACTCCTTACTCTTGATAATCTCTCAGTGAATCTTCCTAAAAGACAGCTAAAACTACACTCCCACCGAGCAAAAACTTTCTTTTGGCATAGACTGTGTATAAAGTATAACATCTAAAAAGAATTTGTAATTAAGGAATCACTGGTATACAAGATGAGCTTAATAAATCAAAGTGCTGTTAATTCTGGCAAACTCCAATGCTATTTCTTCCTTTGCTTCCTGTCTTCCACCAAGAAATGACCTCTCTCTCTCTCTAATGGAACATCTGGTCATGTCCACCACCCATCTCTAAAGCTCTGAACTTTAATACCTTATGAAGCAGTAATTTCTCCTGTCCACATTTCCCCTACTAGTCTTGGGACTTCTTGAGGTCAATATCCATCCATGACTCACTCTGTGTACACAACTGCCATTCGAACAAAGATCAGAACATAGTATATGCACAGGTATTCACTGAATGAATGGCATGTGGTCCGTGAGCTATATATAGTCTACATTAAGTGTCTCAGGTTTCTGGGGGCTATAAGCAATGAGCCATATTATTTACACTGAACAATGCCTAGAGCAAATATTCAGTAACATCAAAAAGACTAAAACTGTCAACATGAAAAACATAAAAATAAGCCGGGCAGTGGTGGCGCACGCCTTTAATCCCAGCACTTGGGAGGCAGAGGTAGGCAGATTTCTGAGTTCGAGGCCAGCCTGGTCTACAGAGTGAGTTCCAGGACAGCTAGGACTACACAAAGAAACCCTGTCTCGAAAACAAACAAACAAACAAACAAAACAAAACAAAACAAAAGATAAATTAAAAAATTTTAAAAATTAAAAAAGAAAAGAAAAACATAAAAATAAAAAAGGAAGAGTCAACAGATTACAACAGTAGGAAGGCTTGTCTAGTATGCATAATGAACACTCAGCACATATATGCATGCACACATTCCAACACACACGCACACACATACACAGAAGAGTGCACGCAAAGAGAGAGAGATACAAAGAGAAAAAGAGAATACCAGTAAAGGCTCACAGAAAAGCAGGCAAAACTGTTGTAATCTGTCACAGTTATGGTGCTTTATTTTCTATTAGTTTAAGTTACCATTGTCATATGCTCAAAAAATTATAAATACATCACATTTGGTGGGTATCAAGCACCCATCAAAGGAGAAAGGCTGGCTCCCTTTGGAACATCAATTACCTCTGAGCAGTGACTTAAATGAACCTAATTATTTGTCCTAGGGTTGCTTTCTGATGCTGTGATAAAAACATTGGCCAGAGCAACTTGAAGAGGAAACACTTTATTTCTGCCTACAACTCCCAGGTCACAATTCACCACTGATGGCAGGAACTCAAGACAGAAACCTGCAGGCAGGCACTGAAGCAAAGGATAATGAAGGCTGCTTTATTTTTCACCCCACCAGTACCAACTGCCCAGAAGTGGCACTTAGGCTGGGACCTCCTATATATCAATCAAGAAAATTTTGCCAAAGACCTTAGACCTGGCTACAGACAATCTGATGGAGGCAATCCTCCAAATTGGTTTTCCCTCTTCCCACACAATTCTTGCTGTGTCAAGTTGACATAAAAAAGAAAGGAAGGAAGGAAGGAAGGAAGGGAGGGAGGGAGGGAGGGAGGGAGGGAGGGAGGGAGAGAGAGAGAGAGAGAGAGAGAGAGAGAGAGAGAGAGAGAAAGGAATGAAAGAAGGAAAGAAAAAACTAACCAGCACAGTGTTCAAACAGGACCACATTTAATACACTAATGGGCATACGTGGTTATTGCTTAGAGCCTTATCCAGAGCTCTATGCAAAAGCACAATGGGATAAAGTATTGACATCAAGTTTCAGCTGGGTTAACAACTTCAAGGGAAATTATAGCTGAGTTTTGCAGCTCAGTGTACCATGTCTCGAGTTTTGAAGGAATGCTAGCCATTTGATTTGATACCCAAATTAGTCATCAATCATTGTCCTGCCTTTTCTTGCCAGGTTCCAGACCATAAGATGGAACCGCGTGAATACAAATCTCACTGGTGAATTGTGCCCAGATGAGTGACCTTTTCCAGCAAGATAACAAGGAAAAAAGGCTGTTTCCAACTACTATTACTTACATATCTCCTTTCTGAACCTTACTGAAATTATACATTCATCAACAGATGTATTAGTAACCAAAAGCTATATGACCAACAATACACTTGTTTTTGACATTTCCATTTTACAAAATCCTTTTAGAATTAATTCTCTTGAGCCTCACAACTACCCTGTGAGGTGGATATAATTACCACCATTAATATGGCATTTTGAAAAAATTCCAGTACTGTGGATGGAATACATGGCCTTGCATGGGCAAAAACATTCTACCACTGAGCTACATGCCCAGCCCACCACCAATTTCATATTGTACAAATCTATTATTGTACCTAATATTTATATACAATATCTTTATGGTAATATAGCTATCACTGTTTACCAAATTGGGACAGTTTAACATTTCTCTCTCAAAGATTCTTTTTCTTAATTTTTGAATTACACCTCATGGTTGACATGGTCTGTGCCAGATCTCAAAATAGGGAAGCCATGACTGGAATCCAGGTCTTTAAATCCGATTCCAGTGTGATAATTTCTTCTTTCCTTCACTCAGGAGGAGCACACCTGTGTTTTGCACCCACCCTACCTACTCTGAAAAGAAGTCACCGAGCTGTCACAGTGTGAAGAAGCAGAATATGGGGGACAAATACTACTGAGGTAAAATTTGTAGGAAAGAAAGATTCTATCTCTGCCCCTAGCTACTCAAGTGTTTAGAACCTGTGGGGCTTAAAGAAAAGCAACAAGGCAAGGGTTAGTTGTGGGGGTTTTAATACTTCCCCATCCTATTTTGAGCTACATTGATCATGAAATTAAAAAAAAATCACCACAAATATCAAAGAGTCCCCTATCCTAGAAGAGCTTTCAGACCTGCAGCCCATGTGCAAAGGTTTGAGCCTGATTGCTAACTCTTTCCACTCAGAAAAAGAAGAAAACTTGCCTCTTCATTTACAAAACCCTTACTCTTCCAGCATGCTTGTAAAACATCACTTGAGAAGTGAAGACACAAAGATCAGCAGTTCAAGGCTAGCCCAACCTTCACATTAAGAACTTGTCTCCAAAACTAAGACCTGTATATGTAGCTAGCATATGCAGAGACCTGAATTGAGTTCCCCATCATTATGGGAGGGGGTGCATTTTGCCTCTCCCAAAACTGTTTTATTGAACTGAATGTTTTCTTACACAACTTAATCACCTGGAGATGACTTAGCTGACCATTTAAAGCATAATTTCACCTTGCCATACATGTCACAAAACCACCTCCTAACTAGCACGTTCATAATGAGCTCTCTTGGCTGGCGAATACTACGAGCAGTTTGCAATAAGAAGGAATCCACTACCCAAACAGTTGCCCCTCTACTTTCAGAGTTCCCAAGCTTCTATTTCTGTGGCACAACCTCCATATCCTCAACCTCTCAATGAACTCTATTAAGAGGAGACACACCCAAAAGCCTAGCCTACAAGTCTGCAAGGATCAGCATTTTAAATATTCCATCTTCAAGGTACTAACTTAAGTGCACTCTTGACTAGGTGACAAGACAACAAAGCATTAAATGATCCAACTCAACTGAAGAACTCGAAGGAACTTGAACAGTTTAAGGATTCTGACCAGAAGTGGCCAGACAGCAGCAAATTAGACAACCACAAACTAGAACTGCTCCATGAGACGTACTGGCATGCAGCAGGTCTCGAAACACCAAAGGTTCTAAGTCTCCCTCCACTCTTGCTTGGCTGTACCAGACTGGCACAAGGGACCACACAACCTAGACATGGGATGAGGTGAGGGTAAATCCACTCAAAACAAAGTTCAAAACAGAGAGAGGCTCCTTCGCAGTGACTTTACCTTTCACAATTATTTTTCATTTCAGCCAAGGAGAAAAAAATTAACCCTCACTCTACTTAACCATTACCCTCCATTCTTCTGGGTATATATTTTGGCACAGGGGGTTGGCTTGCTTATATGCTCATTGGGGATGGTCACTATTCTTTTTCTTTGAGCCTCCTGACAACTAGCAGAAATTAAAAAAAATACACACAGAAGGGGAAAAACAGTCCCACAAGTGAGGAAGCTCTGACCACAGAAATAGCGAGGCTAGGTAATGTCCTTTCTGGGCAGCAGCCCACACCCTAGGCCCTGTATTTTATACCCAGGGGATCTGGGCCCCCTGGACCATGAACTAGACAGGTCTTTGTTCCACGCTGAAGCAGAATTCAGTGGTATGTGAAGCCAACCAACGATCCTTAGAAAATGATTTTAGAAGGGTAAATTTTTTACTGCCCCACACTTTTCTTCAATAACCAGAGTCCAGGACAAAAATCATTATACTGGAGCTCTTGGCCTTAAATTCCCAATTCTTTAGGGGGTGTTGGGGTAATTCCTTGGTAAGCATGGAAGTCAGCTTGTACTGCACAGGGGTGTTGTCCATGTCTGACAGGTTGGGCAGACTGTCGTTTCAATAAGTACCTGCTAAGAGTAACTCCAAAGCTAGAGGGTCTCTGTCCCAGTTACAGATTAAGTCTTACAAGGTCAGGGCCACTAAAGGGAAAGGCCCAGAGTTCTACTTGTCTTTACCACTTTCCACTTTTAGACACCTCTCTCAAATGTTCAGAAACCCACCAGACTCAGAGATCTGGGTTGAGAGTCACTGTAGATCTCCCACCACCACCACTACCAACCCCCCATCGGTTCCCCGCTGTGGTATGGAAAGGTTTAAAGGCCAGAACCACCTACTCAGACAAACAGCTCATGGAAGCCTTCCACTTACTTCGCATAGCGCTGATAAGCGCGCTGCCGTCTTTGATTACGTCTTTGATGAATTTATTGGTCCTCTCCAGCTCCTGTTCATAACACTTGAGCCTCTCGCGGAAATCGGGGCTGTCGAGGTAGCAGTCGCTGAACTCCAACGGGGGATGCCCCATGATTACGATAGCGGAGGGGCTAGGGATTAGAGACAAAGAGCGAGAGCATCAGTGGCATAACTAGCAGAATAGACCCAGTGCCTTGTGTTCAGGATCCACTTTTAGGCGGCTCTTAACCCCACTCCCTTGGAGGACAGGTACCTGTTCCAATGAAACTCTTGGGAGCGCCCGCTGGTGTGTAGCTGGAGCGCGTAGTCCGGTGGTGGCTGCGGGTGACCAGGAGTGCTTACCAAAGCCTTCTGACGCCGACAGGGTGCAGCCTAGGGAGCAGCACGCCCCCTGGTCATCGTCTCCCCAAAGCACAGCGCCGTGTCCCGGGCGTCCCAGGGTGGAGGCGGGGAGAGAGCGGGCGCGGGGGCCGCCTCTTTGCGCTCCCAAGCCAGTCGAGGCTTCCTTCCCCGGCTCCCCAAGAGAGGCAGGCTGTGCCTCCCCTCCCCCTTCTTAAAGCCAATGCCACCGCTTCACGCTGGGCGAGCCCTAACTCCGAGACCGAACGAGAGCACAGGCTCCCTTCAGATGTCTTCCCCGGGTCTTCGGGGCTCGTCGCCCACAACTCGGCAGCTGCAGAGACCGCCTACTGGTTCCTGGGAGCCCTCGTGATGTGGGGTTTGGCACTTAGAGAGTTAAGCCCAGCGGCAAGGAAACGTAGCTTTCCTCCAACAACACGACAGCAGGCAGCGGGAAGAGGAGGGCGACAGCGCTACACACAATAGCTGTGGTAGCCCGGCGCTTCCCTACGGAAACTGGGGAGCAGTCAGCGCCCTAGGACTCCATCTGGAAAGCGTGGCGGCCTGGGATATGTAGTCTTTCGGATCGCTCGTCCCATGACTCCACCCTGCGGTCTCCCACCAACCTTCCAGGGTGGCCACTCTCCTAGTTGTACTTCCCTAAGCCTGCCCCAGGCACAACAATCCTAGAGGGGCAGGTGTACCGCCCCGGCCCCCGAGGGTGCGTGCAAAGTTTCCATAAATGTAGCAAAACTCAAAAGGATAGGTGATGGAAGGCTGTCTCTCACCAGTATTTGTTTTGGTTGGACTGTCTTTTTTTTTTCTTTCCTCCTTCACCCTTCCTCTAACCCACCAACTCTTTTCCTCCTTTTCCTGTGTCTCCTAGTACAAGACCCTAATTCTCATGGGGTTTGGTGCCTACTCTAGGATCTCTGCTAGACCCAGAATCCCCGCCCTGCTGAAGAAACAGAGGCTAGATTTGAACATCTTCCTGAGTAGGGCCTCAGAGAATGGTTTCTGTGACCCAAAAATCAACACATAGGCTCATAACTAAAGCATGTGATTTGCTGTCTGTTAATGGAGAACCTAAAATGAAGTTGCGATAAATTGTCTTTCTCTTTATCCAAAAGGCCTTTTGTCCATTGTCTATTGTAGGGGAACCTGGACTCCTTATAAAGACAGCTCTCAAATTAAGAGTGGCGGCAGTTAGGCAAACTGTAAAATAGCATGCATGCACTTGGGCAAAAGAGATCCATTTTGATTTCACAATAGTGTTTACATTAAATTATATCAGTAAAGCCGGAAGAAAAAAATGGGAAATACAGTAATAATAGCTGACCTACCTGTGTTGATGTCTGGTTTCTTCTCTAACAGATTACCACCAACTTGGTGGCTCAAATTAACACAAATACATTATTTTAAGTTGTGGGAGTGAGAGTTGGAAATGACCACCACTAAGCTAAAGTCAAGATGTCAGAATGGCTATGTTCTTCTGGACTCCAAGTAAAAATACATTCCCTCGCTTTCTTTAGCTTCTAAAAGCTGCCTTCAAACCTTTTGTCAGTCTTTGAAGTCAACAATGGTTTTCCAGGTCCTTTCTCATGCCACTTTAATGTTAACCTGACTATCTTGCCTTCCCTGTTCCTTTCCATGACTCTTAAAATTATATTAAATTCATAGGATAAGCCAGGATCATCACTTTATCACATGATTCTTAATTTAACCACATCTACATAGTCCTTGTTGTCATTTAAGACAACATATCCACAGATTCTAAGGATTTACATATCCTCAAAGGCCATTTGTTTACCTTCCAATAAATTGATGTATAATCCTATAAACCATCGTACACGTGACTGGAGGTGATAATGTACCCCTTTAATCCCAGAATTCAAGAGCCAGAGACAGGCTGATATTTGAGTTTAAGATCAGACTGTTCTACAGATCAAGCTCCAGTCCAGCCAGGGGAGACACAAAATTAAAACAACATTGACAAGGAAACACCTCACAAGTCTTCAAAACAGCCTCAAATTGTTGGGATTGTTATACCTGTTTAAGGTTAGAGAAATTAAGTCAAAGAGAAGTTGATTCGCCCCAGGACACATAGCTAATTAAGTGGCAAAGCTAGATTCCCCTTGCCTGGCTGGTTTTCTAGAAATGATGTTCACAATCACTAACATATCACAGATATGGGAATCCAGGGAGAGATCTTCCTTTAAAAACGAAGGAATGGTCAAATCCCAGAGAAATAGATCTGGGACAGCAACCACCCCAAAGGGTGGTGGGAAGACCACAGGGAGGAATCATGGGATCTACAAGATGAAAGAATATATCTCCCAGGCTGCCACACTTTCCAACTGGAGTCCTAGAGCACTGAATGCTCCCCAGTTTTTCTGTTTCTTTGTTTTGCAGTGCCAGAGTCTTGCTAATGCAAGACAAGAGTTCAATGAACTGATCTAGATCCCCAGCCCTGTTATCAACTTTTTATTATTTCAAAGGTTAACAAATGCTGGAGATGTAACTTGGTTTGTAGATCACACACTTCAAATGACCGAGACTCTGGTTTATTAGGTGTTTTTCTTTTGCTGGATTTTTAAAGAGATTTAATGTCACTATATAGCTCAGATGGCCTCAAACTCATGATAATTTTTCTGCCTCTGTGTCCCTAGTTCTGTGATTATAGCTATGTGCCACCATGCTGAGTCTGATCTCCAGTACTGCAAAGCAAAGATAGAAATTATAAAGGTTATCTTTTCTAAGAAAATGCCCAAAGTAGACTTTAAATTCTCTGTGGGTACATTCAAAGCAAAACAAAATACAAATTCTCACGTAATGCTGAAAATTTTTACATCGTTCTACCATTTGATTTTAATTTGACATTGTATATTACATATTCCTCAAAGAATTTGTCTGCCCATAATATGTTTTTATACTTAAAAGTCTGCAATTGATTACCATGTTGAATTCCTTCTCAACAAAAATATCACCAAAAATAGAAATTAAATTATTTCCTTGTGATAGCTATAGGCTCCGATATATAAGCTCTTGATTTGAGTTATAATTGCAATTATGCATGTACATTTCATGTGTGTGTGTCTGTGTGTGTGTGTGTCATCACCACCACCACCACCACTGCTACTTCTATATTACTTCTACTGTACTACTACACAAAATGATTGGGCATGTAACTTCTGTAAGAAAGATAGATAAAGTGTAGGCTAAAGGACCTTGAGTTAAACAAGGTTCCTTTAAAAGAGAAGCAAAACAAACAAAGATTTATCAGGGTCCATTTTTTTAACCTCAATATTTAAAATACTGGTTAGTCTGTTTAACCCTAAGACTTTTACACATGGGCAATTTGTAAACTCATGACCTTTGAAGGCCATGCTTTCCTTTTGAGAGGTTTACGAAGGGAGGTAGGAAAGAAATCAGGAGAGAAGCTCTTAGGGAAGTCACCTCTGAAGGAATTTGAGGACTTGGAAATCGGTTCCCTTTCAGCTATAGTGATGCCACAGTCCTTGAAAGGTGTACTTTGCTATGGAATGAATGAATATGTGCAGCTCTCAAAATCCATATTGTTAGGCACTAGGCATGCATTGTCGGGGACAATCACCTCTGTTTGTAAAATTAAAAGCTACTTCTTCTTTAATGATGAAACAGCCTCTAAAGTTGCTTTCTGTTGCTAATAGGGCCCACCAGAGAAACCAGTTTATAGCAATATAGGCTAAAAATCAAGTGTAGCTCCATCCTTATGTAGTTTTGACATCTTAGCACCTAATTTTGAGCAATTCTTCCTTCAAAAATTTACTAAGAAATTTTATGCACAAAGCCCTCAGTTTGATTCCCAGCAAAACACACACACACACACACACACCTTCTACTAAGGGCTTAAAGTGACTCATCAGTATTAGGAGCACATATTTCTCTTACAGAAGACCAGACTTTGATTCACAGTACCCACAAAGGACAATTCAATTCACAACTGTCTGAAATGATAATTCCAGGGGGATCTGATGCTTCTGGCTCCTTGGGCACCTGAACTCACGTGTAAATACACACACTCACACACACAATTACATATAATAAAATAAGTCCTTTTTAATTCTAAGGATTAAGTCATAGATAATATATGTGCACATAGCTAGTACACAAACATTCCTTAATATGAGTTATATCTAAGTACTCTTCCATGCTTCTTGTTCTGATGAATAGCACTAAAGGTGGAAACCCATCGGATTAGTCATAATGGTAGTCTTAGGAAAACATTCCTAAAGATTAAACACACACACACACACGCACAGAGAGAGAGAGAGAGAGACAGAGACAGAGACAGACAGAGAGACAGACAGAGAGACAGAGAGACAGACAGAGAGACAAACAGAGAGACCTGTTCATTGCCAATATGGGGCAATAAAAGCCATTCATTATTCTCAAAAAATTTACATTTTGACTGAAATAAAAACTCTAGTCTCAGAGTTTTATCACTGGTAGGGGCTTGCCTGCCATGTTCAAGGCTATGGGTTCAATTCCCAGCAGAGTTTGTGACTCTCCCCCCCCCCAACCTTGTTTGTGCTGGTTTAATATAGTCTCTCAACTTCCTGGATGTTCCTAGACTGTGAAGTCACTGTCCCCTCTGGGGTTAAAGAACCAGAACCTGAAACCCTGGAGTCATTCAAAGTATCAGACCACTCTCATGTGGAGTTGTAGGATGTCAGCAAGGCTTCATGCCCTTTGACCTGGTTTATCCAGCTGGGGCTTTGATGTTTATCAGTTTGTGTGTCCATCTGTGTGTCTGTCATTTATGCTGGAATTAGAACCAAACTATTTGACTTAATGAAGCAGTCATCTGGGTCAGGATCAGTCTCTTGCCATTGCACAATTGTTTGACAACTTGAAAGAAACAGAAACAAGGAAACCAGATGTTGAGCTTGCTATGGTGACATAAGAACACAAGCACACGTCTTTTTCGCTGTTGTTATTGTTAATTTTTATTTTATTTATTTTCTTTCTTTTTATTGAAGACATATTTTTTTCATATGATATATTCTGAACACAGATTCCAGTCCCTCATCTACTCCCACTTTCCCACCCACCGAAATCCATGCCTTCTTTCTCTCTCTTCAGAAAACAAACAGGCAAATAAAAAAACAAACAAACAAAACAGAATAGAACAAAACAGAGAAAAGGCAAGGAAAGCACATAAACATACAAACACACACACACACACACACAGAGGGGGGGGGGGAGGGGGGAGGGAGGGAGGGAGGGAGGGGGGGGAGGGAGGGAGGGAGGGAGGGAGGGAGGGGGGGAGGGCGGGACGGAGAGGGAATATAAATAATAAAAATGGGAGAGGAAACTACATTTGAGATGTAATACATGAGAGAAGAATAAAAAGAAAAAAACGCAAAGTCAGAAGCCATGATATACAAGCAAAAGAACAATGAAGTTTCAAAAAGAAAAAAAGCCCAGACTAAGCATTATGAGATAAACATCTCCCCAAATAACACTGAGTTCCTTTTTTTTTTTTTTCTGAGTTGACTATCTACTACTTGGCATGG